AGGTGATATTAGCGCATGTGCAGTGCATGGTGTGCACAGTGCGTATGCCCTACCATCTTAGGGCTCAGCCAGTGTTGGAAATGACCTGTTTTTTGAGAAGACAGCATCAGCCACACGTTGAGGAACTTCGAGACAACAGCCACAGAGCCTGTTCTTTGTGGGCATTGTATGAATGTGACGGAGTCCGGTGATGTTGTTTTCAAGTAAGGCGAATAAAACGGGCAGGAATGCGGCCTTCCTTAAGAAACGCTCTAAAACACTCAACGGAATTAGTTTGCACAAAACCTCAGGAAGTTGCCGCATGTTAAGCATGTGTTCAGCGTTATGAGAAGCTATAAAGCCTTAAAAGACAAATCCCTCCCCAGAGCGGCACACAGCATGCCACTTTTATGTGATTCCTAAATTCAGAAACACAAAGACTTATTTCTGCACTAACATGGGTACATGTTTGCTACTTTAAAGCATCATTTGTATTGGCAGAAACCGGGCACAGTCACCGATGCTGTGAAAAATACTGATGGTGAAAATTCCGAACAACAAAGGATATTAAAGCCAGACTTTGATTGAGTTTAACGAAATGTAAATATATTCATGCATAATTGAATGATGCATGATTACCATGCGCCCTGCAATGGACGGGCACCCCAACCAGAGTCCCTTGCTTTGTGCTCTGTGGTTCCTGGGATAGACTTCAAGCCCGTGCACCACCAGTCAATAAGTGGCTGTGGATGATAGATGGATGGATGAATGGATAGATGGATGTTTACCATATAGATATACAGAGTTTGTGATATTGTTTGTTTTCACCATTCATGATGTCTCGCTGCTTTGTGAGACAGAATAAATGGTTTCAAAGACACAAACACTGTAGAGAGGATATCTGGAATCTTTGTGAGGTATGTGGCTCAACAAATTCTGGGGCTGAATCCCTATCTAGAAGTTCGTGGGTTTGCATCCCATGGTCAGAAGAGCAAGCAAAGCCCTTAATCCCAACTGCTGCTGGGATGCTGGATGCTGAACCTGAGCTCTTGCACCTGGTTATCCTTACTTGAGGGTCACTTTGGCCAAAGGTGTTGGTGCAGAAATTAGACCTGATAAATGCGTTTTCGAGACGAGTCATTATTGTGGACTTCTGAGCGATCGTAGGCGTCACGTTCCTCAGTGAGAATGATACGGGACTGGAGAAGAGCCAGGGCCCGGAAAACAGACGAAGGTGATTGTTTGCAAAATGAGTAATGTAGCATGAATCACTAAATTGCTTCTTTTTGCGTGTGTGGGGGTCTGGTGGCTGGAACAGTGTTCTGAAGAAAAAGGCGGAGTAATCAAAGCATTGAATAATAAATGATCCTGACTGGCTGGGAGCCAGTATTTAGCATATTTCTGGATGGTATTGGCTTAACCTGTGATGGAATACAACCGAGACCAGGCATTCCGACTGAGACCAGGCATTCCGACTGAGACCAGGCATTTCGACTGAGCGTAGCGACCAAGGGCCCGCAGACACTGGCTGCCCATTTGTAAGTGGCAGGATGGAGGAGGAATGTGGAGCACTGGATGATATGGCCCCCCAAGCTGCTGCCATACCTTACGGTTTCCCAATCCGGTCCTCAGGGACCCACAGACGGTCCATGTTTTTGCTCCCTCCCAGCTCCCTGCCAGACAGTCCACATTTTTCTGCTTACCGGGAACAAAAATGTGAACCGTCTGCGGGCCCCGGAGGTCCACATTGGGAAACACTGTCTTAGGGCATTTTACTGACTAAATAAAACCTGGATAGGTGGGGGCAGCTGGAGCGTAGAGCGGGGCAGGTGGAGCGTGGAGTGTGGAGCGGAGAAGCTGGAGCGTGGAGCGGGGCAGGTGGAGAGTGGAGCGTGGAGCGGAGAAGCTGGAGCGTGGAGCGGGGCAGGTGGAGCGTGGAGCGTGGAGCGGGGTAGGTGGAGCGTGGAGCGGGGCAGGTGGAGCGTGGAGCGGGGAGCGGGGCAGATATGTAGGGCAACTGGCATTGAGATCACAGTGCCTATAAATGCTCATTAACTGTGATCTGAGCGGCAGAACTGGCAACCATCCCACGATCTGGTGGGGGTGTGTCTATTGTTTTTTTTTTGAAAGGGAGGAGGCACATTCATAGCTATCTCTCTGTCCAGCTTCGTAATTCCAGAAGCGATCAGAGTCATTCTTGTAGTGTTCCATTCCTTCCCCTCACCACCCAACTTCCATCACTGCGCCCTGAGGCCCCCGGGGGATGGGGGGGTCAACTGTAAAATGGCATACAGATGGCGCCCACATACAGCAGGCATTCCTGGGGGAGGGACGCATGAAAAATTCACATTTCTGACATTCCACAACCCTGTTCCTGAGTAGTCATTTTTTCAGATTAATGCTTAAAAAGAACCAAATTCTGGTAGCAAATTATCGAGAGGTGGTTGAGATTACAGTTTGTCTTCAGTCTGTGCTCAGTAGGCCACCATTTTACTGTACCTGATGTACATCATTCTGTGTGCCTGCCCTCACCAGGACAACCTGTTTGACGGATGAACGAGTTTATGATCGATGTGGCCTGATAAGTGGTTCAACAGCAGTGTCCTTCCTGGGACTCACAGCCCTGACGCTGCCTGTATTCGTTTAACGAAACCTGACTTGTGCCTGTTTGTTTGTTTTCTTATTCATCTTCTTTGCACGGATGCAGGTGCTGGTGACGTGCCAACCCCCACCCCCACCCGACTCCCCAGGGGAGAGCCGGTCCCTACACGTCCCTGCGGAAGGCCGTGACAGACAGGACCAGCATGGGGCAGACCAACCAGAGCATGCAGGCCCAGACCAGTCTGCCGTAGTACCTCCATACTGGGGCTCTGTTCTCTCTCCTACTAGAAGCACGAGAAGCTTTTTTTCTAAGCGCTATATAGCGAATACCATTGATGCAGGACCGAGTCTTGGATCTCTGGGGTTAATGCAACCAGCTCACTAAAATCTACAGCTGAGACCTGAAATTAGTCCTAAATTGAGCATAATACCCAGGCTTGTACTTGTTGAATTAGAAAGAAATGTGACTCCAGAAACGTGATTAGTAGAGACTTCCAAATGCTACACTGCATCTGTCCACAATACTGTAGTTTAAAGGTGAAGCCGTAGTGAGTCCAAGAGTACAACGGTCAATCCGCAGCGGGATTTCATCTTGAAATGAGGGCTCAGCGATGCCGCTCTGTAGGAGCCAGGGAAAATGCCGTTTTCTTCGCAGTTTAAAATTAATTACTGATGATTTGCACGGCAACCTGCCACAGTCACCATCATGAAGTCACTGCTGATTAAAATGTGTTAAGAAAAACGTTGCGTTGTACAAATTATGTTAGTTTGTGTGACGGGTTTGTGCAGCATGCTTCAAACATACGATCTTCTAGTGTAATTACTCTAATTATGCCCAATCTGTTCTGACGCAGGGATACAATAATCCATCTAAAAGGTCAAACGGGGGTTTGTGACGTTCCAGGGCATAAGTGAACCGACCATCCACAACGTCGCGGGACACAAGGCTGTGAACATACCTGTACATTAGGGGTAGATTTACATCTGAAAGCAGGGAGGGCAATTCAGCGTCTTAACAAGCCAGAGGCTCCGCATAAGCCGCCGCAGGCATACAGGCTTTTCCCAAGAGCCGTTTCCCATATCGACTGGGAGTCACTGACTGCAAACAGAATCAGACGACGGGCTAATCCCTCCCTACGGGCTCGGGCGCCGTGACCTGCCTTGGCTTCCCAGCCGTGTGGCTGAACTCTTCATTCACCGAGCATTTCACCCAGTCTCTTCCCACGGTGACTGCGATACCAGGTACGGCAGCGTTCTTCCAGGACTGCGATTGACTGAACCTTCTGTGTTGTGATTTCCCTCTCATAACGCACCACAGCATCAAGCAATAAAACATATCCAGACAATTATATAAGCTGATTTGCATATGGACAGTGCAATACCGTTAAAAAAAAAAAAAAACACAAGCTGAAAGAAAAATATGCAAAACAATGTTCCCGAGCTTAATCATTACGAAACATCTGTCCTTCAGGACAGTGCTGGCTGAGAAACAAAGTAGCTCATATCATTTATCGCTGCTGCATTTTACATGGCTAGATGAGAAATTATGTGTGGAGGTTTAACAGTATTTATCAGTGACTCCTTTTTCAGTTCAGCAGCTACAATATTTTTGTCAGCAAACATGTACAGGTATGTACAGCTGTGCCCCGGTCTGTATGTCTGTAGCCGGCCAGCCTTTTAACAAGCCGGAAAGGCAATACTGTACAGCCAATCACAGGGCAGGCAGAAGGCCAAAATTATTATTCATTTCCCAGTTTCGGGAGGGGATTGTTGTTGGACCCTCAGTTACCCAGGAAATAGACATGCAGAGTTCCAGACTGCGTGATCGACATGACAAACCACTGAATGGACACCGCTGTATGCATTCCAGTACGGCGTGGGGATTCTGAAGGCTGTCCCCCACTGCAATGCACACTGGCAGGGGGGGTTATTTTCTGGTAATAAACAGGAGTTACTTAACCAGTTTGCCAATAAACTGGACAAAAAAAACTAATGAAATGCGACAATTATCAAGAATTTATCTAATGTATGCCAGAGCAATGATGCATGAAAACAGTTGTCTTATTTTATATCAATTAAACTACTTTTGGAATTTTGCAATAGTCAATCAATATTGTTAATTAGTTACTTATTACCTGCTTATTAGATATTTCAACATATGATTACATATAATGGACTGATTAATTTTGCAATCAGGAATTTTGCACTTCTGAACTTGTATTTAATCATCTTCCATATGCCACAGTTGTCATCACTGGGGAACAAAGAGAACCTAGACCAATTACGATGAGTGACAGGTAAACAGGAAACGACCTCACGGAGAGCAGACTGACCAATCAGAAACCCATAAGTTCAGTGGCATAAGCAGGCAGGAGAATCCACATGTAAAACATGGCAAGTGGACAAAAGAAATGTTTACCTGTGAATTCAACCTGTTTACTTTCACAGTGACAATTTAAGCCAGGAAGACAACATTATAATTAATTATTGTGAAACTGCTGGGAAGTTTAAATTATATAAAAATAGTCTAAAAAATTACTTCCAAATCAACCTTCAGTAATAAGTAACTTCAGTATCGTGTTATTCCTGTATGCTGTTAAAAAAATACCTAAAATGGTCATAAATGACACCTTAAAAATATTTCCTCAACACGGATATGTACAGAAAAACACTTTGTTGTATCAGTTGTGAGTTCTCTTTAATACAGCTTTAAAAATGTTCCTAAGTAAAACCAAATAAAGCCAAAAGGCAAAGTAAAAAACATCACGGACACAGGGCCTTTGGAAAAGGAAATAAATGAATAAAAAGAATCAATCACTCCATGTTTAAACAGAAACACAGACACAGAAACCAAATACTGCAATCACAGTCCAAGCATGGTGGTTTTCTGCAGACTGGAAAAACCATTTAAACAGCAGATTACAGTCTCAATAATGCCTCATGCATTTCAGCTGTCAGCCCCAGAAGATGAACCTTAACCATAAACCAACAACACACTCCAAACCAGCTGTTTTGTACAAAAGTCGTAATTTTTATTCTCGGAGAAGGCAAGAGTGGAATATACAAACCTTTTTTTCTATAAATATAAAGGATTCTTTAACAGGAACACAAAGAACTGCATATAAATGGAAAAAAAAAGATTTCCGTGTTGTAGAAAACGTTTAATAAAGAGCGTAAAGATTTAAAATGGCATTTTACGGGAAGCATGCAGAAAGAGTGATGGGGGGCGGGGGGGCACGTGAAATAAAAGGCCGTCACACCGTCAGAAATCAAGGCCTAAAAAAAAGCGTGTGGCCTGTGTTCAAGGTTCTGCAAAAAAGCGGGTTTCTGGATCCGGCAGGACATACAGCAACTCAGCCCAGAGATGTGTGAGGTCTGCCTGATGCTTATCGCCCCGACATTTTATGTAAACAGCGATTAGTGATGAATCACGGCCTTACAGATAAAAAAAAATTAGCCAAAATAAAAATCTCTACTTTATGGAGTTCTGGGAAGGGGAGGGGGGGCAAACAACTCGCTGTTTTAACTTCTCTCCCGTTTAACATAATTCCACTACTTTTAATCCCAGTGGTCCCTCCCCCATCCGATTCCTGGCTTCCGTTACACCACTCTCAACGACACAGACACGGGGCACCATTCAACATCCCAGCGTGGACACAAACGCTCGCCAGCCGCTTCTGCCGTCAGACTCCCGACCCCGGCTAAGAACATTCCAGAAGCGGCCCTCTGTAGTCCAGCGACCCCTGACCCTTAACACTTAACCCCAGGAATCGCATCCATCATCAGACACGGATACAGTTGGAGTATTATTACCAGCCACGCTCACTTGGGCTTAATTAAATCACGGGGGGGGGGGGAGGAATCAGCTTTCAGGGTAAAACATTAGGATTTGCACTATTTAAAGAAACACATAGCATTTAGGATATTTTTCAGACAAACGAAAAACAAGAAGTGATCGGAAATCAGCCACATTAGACGCTATGCGTGTCCAGGAAGTGCTCGTCTGTGAAAGAGGCTCAGCCCTGGTAACTTCAAGGTAGAGCGTCTCGTGTCCAAACCACACACAGGCCGGGAATCCTTATTCACGACGCACGAACCTTGTTTATGTAATTTATATATGCAGAAAGATGCAGTACCTTTTTTGGAATGAGACGTAACAATTCAAAATTAGTAAAAGCTCCTTTTTAAATACAAATATATACTCACAAAACTTCACAAATGCTTATTTACATGGACATAGCAAAGAGTTTCTCTCGCATATCTACAAGGGGGGGGGGGGCTTCAGTTAAAAACAAAGTATGTCTTTGCAGTTGAGTTTGTCTATATGGTTGTATGGAGGGCAGGGTCTTCAGAATAGTGGTAACATTACACAGTCGTCTCCCCCCGTCTACCATTGGTCAGTCTTGTGTAAAATTTCCTCCAGGAGCTGAGAGTTTTGCTGGACCAGATCCAGAACCCTGAGGTGATGCCCACAATCAGGGTCATGAGGTACTTGATCATGAAGATCGTGAAATCAGGCACAGCCTGCAGGGGGCGCTGTAAAGGGCAGGGTACCGCATAGGCCTTGCAGGCCCGACTGAGCCACGTCTGCTCCCACTGTTGGCGGTAGGCCTGCTCGTAGAGGTAGCAGGCCACGACGGCGGCAGCAGGCACCGTGTAGAGCACGCTGAAGACCCCGATACGCACCATAAGCCGTTCTAGCTTCTCCGTCTTGGTGCCGCCGTGTTTCATGACGGTGCGGATGCGGAACAGCGACACGAAGCCCGCCAGCAGGAAGGAGGTGCCCAGGGCGAGGTACAGGAGCAGCGGTGCCAAGACGAAGCCGCGGAGGGCCGCCACGCTGCTGAGGCCCACGAAGCAGACGCCACTCAGAAGGTCCCCGTCCACCTGGCCCACCGCCAGCACAGCGATGGTCTTCACAGCTGGCACGGCCCAGGCGGCCAGGTGGAAGTACTGGGAGTTAGCCTCGATGGCCTCATGGCCCCACTTCATGCCAGCTGCCAGGAACCAGGTGAGGGCCAATACCACCCACCAGATGGAGCTGGCCATGCTGAAGAAATAGAGCATCATGAAAAGGATGGTGCAGCCTTCCTTTTTGGTGCCCTGCACCACAGTACGGGCCTCGCTGTCAAACCTCTCGTTGCAAGCCACTCGATCCCCGAGCAGGAAGCCAGCGATGTAAGCGATAGACACCATCGTGTAGCAACCAGACAGGAAGATGATTGGCCGCTCAGGGTAGCTAAACCGCTTCATGTCCACCAGGTAGGTGAGGACCGTGAAGAGGGTGGAGGCACAGCACAGGACTGACCAGATTCCGATCCAGATCCGGGCAAACTTCTGCTCCTCCTGGCTGAAGTACATCATGCCATGCGGCTTGGAGGGCTCGCAAGGGGCGCCGCAGTGCTCCTCGCCCAGGAAGCGGTAGTTCAGATACTGCGGGACCATCAGTGCCGCCGGGCACCGAAAGCGCCCGTCAGCGTTAATCTCCGGATGAGGGTCGTCGGTCACGGTGACGGTGGGGCTGATTGGGGGGCTCCTCTCGGAGGTGTTCTGCCCGACGCACAGCTCGCCGGCTCCGTGCACCGGAAAAGTCTCGCACGCCAGGCTGTCGGGCCACTGGAAGCCGAACTTGTTCATGAGCGCCTCGCAGCCCTGGCGAGCACGTTCGCAGAGCGACCGGCACGGGGGCAGAGCCTGCTCCAGCACGGTGCACACCGGAGCGTACATGGAGCACAGAAAGAACTTCAGCTCGGCCGAACACTGAACTTTTACCAGCGGGAAGAACTGGTGCACCTCCAGCCCGGCATCTTCCTGGTTCGTGTGCCCCAGCAGATTGGGCATGATGGTCTGATTATAGGCAATGTCCGTGCACAGGGGTATCGAGATCGGCTGGCAGAAGCCGTGCTCCGGGACGGACATGCCCCGGTCGCCGGGCTGTCCACGTACCCCGAGAAGTCCGAGCATCACCACCGAACACACTGCCAGCAGCCGGCGTCCGGCTCTCCCACAGCCCCGCGGGAAACCAGATTCCCGAGCCATTACTTTGTACCTTTAGAGTTTCGCTTTTTCAAACTACCAGGTGCCGCGGCGCGACTCGATGCTTCCCAATCTTTACCGCCGACTCCGATCCGAAAAACTCCCGAGAGGAAACTTTAAAAGCGGACGTGCAGCGCGTCCGCCGGCGCCCCTGGACCGCACCGGACCGCAGTGAGAGCAGCGCAGCGCAGCACCGACGCCTGGCGGATCCCCCAGTCTGACCATTTGAGCCTGTCTTCCAGCGCCGCTCAGACCTGTTTCCAGGCGCCCCGCTCGCTCCCGCATATGGATAGAGGGGCGGGGTCTGCACAGATGGCAGGCATTAGGGAACGTCTACATTTTACTTTCTTAAAAAAAAAAAGTAATTCGCAACTTGAGATGGAGCGCACATCTAAAGCATAGTTTCAATATTTTGTCATAAAGCACACACCTAACTTGTGTAGTGAAATTATTTAACTTTGCAGTGTCTAATTCTTCTGCCTGTCCACCCACCTGTAAAGCGAATATATGCCTTTTCACGTGATTTGAGCAGTCGTTTTATTTTTAATAATTGATAACTGGCAAAACTTCTAATTTAATTAGGTAATAGAACGTCACTTTCGACATAATTACATAGGATGTGCTTAGATGACAACAATACTACCTCTAAGTTACAGCATCTTAAGAAGTTCTTATTTCGATCTACAGTATCTCGTTTCCAACACCCACTGCATGGAAGGGGGCGAACCGCCGAAGTGCCCAACACCGCTTTGTGAGAAACTTTTCCTCACCCAGCGTTATATATAAAGAGCTATTTTTAAGGAATTGTTTATGTAGTAATTAAGTAACCCTGCCTGGTATTTCTAGTCCAAGTGCCGCTCAATCCATTAGGCAACATAGGCGGCCGCCTAGTCCTCTATCTAATGACTAGGCGCCGACTAAGCAAAACCACCGGCGCCAAGCTCCCCCGGTAGCACTGTGCTAGGCAAAGTGAAATAGGGCGGTGAAACGTGCAAGGGGCGTCACATAGACTTAAGTCAGCATTGTCTGGTCCCATTCAGATACTAAGTAAAATGTACTGTGAGATGTGTATAATGTACAATTATCACATCCTTCTTTCCAAGAATGCATGGAAGTCACTTTCCGCTGGGGTGAAAATTCATTACAGTTCAGATTTCATGAGAATCCGTCTGCTAAATTCTTATAGCGAGATGCTTGGTGAACATATGTAAGTAGAAAACGATGCGATACGCTCGTAACCAGAAGGCATTGGGTTCATAGCTTGCAGAAGAGAGTAAATCTCAAAAACACTCAAGAAAGTATCACCTAGGGCAAGTCATCAGTGACGCAAAAAATGCCTTTTCGACTGCACGTCACATACTGATAATCCCTACAGGAGATAAAAGCGCTCCGCATTCCTATTGGATGCGCAGAATGTCTATCGAACCCGAAGGGAGGGACTGCGCGTGTATCGGAGTAAAGTCTGTCTCTGCTCCCACTTTGGGATAGAACAACTCGTGACTGGATAGAAAAAAAAATGAATAATGGTTCTTTGTTCGGGAGTCAGTCTGTTATCTGGTATGAAAGTTCACGGAGTATGAAAGTTTTAACGCAAAACCTCTTATCAGTTCATATATATATATATATATATGTTTTGTTCCACATTCATTTCCACTCCTTTTCACTCTCGCTAATCTCCAAACACAACAGTGTTTCCCGGTTAGTTATTGACATATTTATTTTCCCTTACTCATTTTTTTGCTTTAGACGGCTCTAAACCGGTTTCCCAAAACTATAATTTGATCACGAATAATGTAAATTGACTAGGTGCGCAGAAATCGGAATCCTGACTGTCCCGTTTCCCCGATCAGGGTAAGCGGTTAGAAGACTGATGTTATGTGTATCAGATGTGGTCGTTAATCGAAACTGCATTGATGTACCCGGAGTAAACCCGCACGATCCTTCATGCAAACTCCAGATATAGTCACAGCGGAGGCGGGATTCAGGTCCCCAGCCGTGCACGTATGAGGGGATTCTGCTGAACACCGAAATCACACGTTTTATGTTTGCCAGTAACTGTCTACTTTAAACGTATAGAAGATACAGTACAAACGTATAGAAGTACAGTACGCTGTCGGCTGGATTGTACCATGGCCACCTGGGTTATTCACTTACGCGTTGCATCTGAAAGGTTTCGCACAGAGTTTTGGAAAATTGTACGCACCATTTACCAAGTCTTTTTTCATTTACAGAAACGAACTTCGGGTGTGGTTTGAATTACAGAAATAATTCTTTGGGACGATTCCAGAAAAAAGCACCTTTGTCACCCCATGTAATGATCGAATTATTGTTTATCGGTTCAAATAGTATGGGGAGTACCGGGCCCCATATCGGTCCTTGTCCGCAGATCAGCGGCTGGCGGCGTTACGTCGGTCATCAGTACATGTTATTATAAACCATCTTATTTTTCCGGCAGACAAACCCCTGTTTAATTAAAACGTTACTGTTTAATTAAAACTACGTACACATGCAAATATGTTAGCTTATTAAAGTGCTCAATTGCTACCGCATAAATATGTTACATCAACTAAGGGGTATTACCTGGCCTTGGAAGAAGATCCTGACCCTTTTAAAATGTATCAACAGAGAATCTTTGCCTTTTTAGTTAAAATATATCCATCTTCCTATCCTGGTCAGTGTCCCGAGGTGGGGTCTGTCACACGTGGCCCGGGGTACAAGGCTTAGGTGGAATGCCAGTCCATCTATGGACACATGCAGGGATGTATTCATGTTAATATGGTTAATGTATCGACTTTTAAAAGTATTTTTTATAGTAATAATAATAATAATGATATCTGTAATAATATTTCTACAGGGAATGCAAATTCAAACCGATAGATTAACATGGCATGACTGGGATTACTTCAGTACCTAATGCTGTAGTTGTTGTGGCCCAAAATCTTAGTCTTATCTCAGATAGGTTCTGATGTCCAGGCCATTATTTAAATAGGGCCAGAGTGCTTGGGGTGGCTGCACACACTCTGCCCCTCAGCTCACTCCTACGTCTGTCTGCTGACACGAGCGTCTACACGAGCGTCTACACCAAGCCAGCATCTCACTTTCGGATGCAGTCAGTTTCCCAAAACAGTCAGTGGAGAGACGTCATATTTAAGTATCAATAAACTTTATTTCAGGTAAAACGTCAATGAACAACATTTACAGAAGGACATTACATCTTCCATAATAACATTATTACATAGAGCTTGTTACAAATAATATAATCACTGCTCAGCTAACCGACTACGTTTTTAGCATTTAAAAAGTGACTGATAACATTTCTATGTTCCAAACCCCTTGTCAACGTGTTTTTCAGTGCATCATATGGAAAAGGAGAATATGTAATCGAAGCCTGACTTGGCATTCAAAAAATTATATATATATTTATATTTTTATATATATATATATATATATATATACGAATCCTGTGGTTGATAGATTGGAAGGAACATTCGTGACCTGAAAAGATATACATTTTTAACTTTGAAGTATCACTACTGTTACATTGTCCACAGGGGTACATCATCCCCAGTATATACAACTGAGACAGTTTATAACAAAGTTAAACAAAATGATTAAATATTCACAGATGATCATAAGTACCGATTCTGCACTGTGTGCCACTGCTCGCTCTTCATTTTATACAGTATACCTATTTATAAATATATAACAACAGGAAAGAGAGGCAAAGCGAGAGCTGATGGCCGACACTGAAACTGCCTGTTCAACTGTCACAGTGCTGTTATCAGATGTGCAATTATATTGCAAGTCTCCCACATTTTCAGTTATTCCTTTATTATTCATAGTTTAAAAAAAAAAAAAAACGCTTAGCAGATGCCTACTATAAAGCAAGCCATTTAGCTCACAAATGAACTCCGCAACCCATTTGGTCAGCTGGACTTCTATTACCTCAATGCCTGAATCCCTTGTTGAGGGAAACGTATTTGGAAGCACTCGAGTCCTCTGGTAGACCATGGTGCTTTGCTGCTCACAAGAGGACAGTAAAGGACTACAGATAAGACATAAGATTGCCATACGACATACTTGCATGCTTAAAGTACTTGAATGATTCAGTTGTTAATACTGTCTGGAAGTCATTCCGAAGTGTGATGAGCGCGTCCTGATATATGAGGCCACTGGGCCTCATTTTGTTATGTACACACCGCTATGAGAACTACACCGAAATGCGCCAAAGTTACTTCAAGTGTTTTCTATCAGCTGCAAATGAGGACTTCCAGTTGCGGCTACACTACCACACCACGTCCTGCACGACTGCAGCGAATGTGTTAATGCGGTTACTGGACGACGCAGGCTCCATGCAAAGTGATTCTTCGTTTAGCTGTAATATTGGGGAAAGAAGCGTATTCAAGTGCGCTCGTTAGCAGAAGACTCCGCGTGGTAGATAAACGTGCCGACTGACTTTTCTCGTTTCATCTCTGTTCGTCAGGGTTGATGCTCAGAGCTAATCCTAGCAACAGCCTCAAGGCAACATTAACTACTGGTATATAACGGCCTTTGATATTATCCTCCTTTACGCATTTCTCTGCGAACTCTGTATGGTTTTGGAGGCAATGGTTAGATGGCTGATGACATCAGCGCAGCCCATCAGCGAATGAGGTCATCTGTCATTAAAAGCCACGCAAAGACAAAGTTGGCACTCAGAAAAGTCCTGAAGGACAGCCAAGTCAGCGGCAGACTGAAGGTGGTGTCTGCAATCTGACCCTAAAGCCTACCGGTCCATGCGTGCAGGTCCCGTGTGTTCCTCAGTGCCCGCTGATGTGAGCAGTGACACAGAGATACCATGTTTCCATAACAATCCATTTCTCCCGTACTCCTCATTAACAGTGCAGAGTCATATACGTTATTAAACAACGTGCCCTTTGACACAGTCAAGATATTATTATCGCTTGATAAAGGTTTCCATCAGTTACAAATGGCTTTGAATAATTCTGTCTTACAGCAACGCAGTCCACCACAGGGAGAGAGTCGGTGTGTCAGTGAAATGGAGAACATCGAGGTTGGTTATCTACCTGTTCTCACATTTACTACAGAAAATCAGTTTAAGTACAACTTTGTTGTCTTAATGGGTAGTGCATCTGTAAACCTTTTCAGTTCTGAACTTTTTTCTTCTGGGGTAAATAGTTAAGAAGGTTCTCACATCAGTGTCAGCACTGCCCGCGATGTCACCGTCACCATAATCATCGACAGCACTGAAGACTGATGTTCAGAGTCTAAGGCCTCATCCCAAAATCACGTTCAGCACTATTAGACCATGAACCGCTGCTTCAGTGTGGCGGAGGCAAGGTACAGAGGCAGAGATCTTGGTAAAAACTTTGAGGCAAAGGTGTGTGGGAGGAGCCAAAGGAAGACCACCCAAGTCCCTTGATCCCGCCCACCTCCTCAGCCAATAAAATATGTAGAGTTTCTGTTGTGGCTATGAACCCTGATGTGGAAGACTAACTGAATCCAATACACTTTTGTGGTCATTGCTAATGAAATTTTGCCCTGACCTGACCTCCCTGGATCGATTAAGGTGGAAGAAACACCGGGGGACAAGTTAAGCCTGTTGATTAGTTTGTTATGTTCTTTAGAATCGGTCCCCTGCAGGTTAAAACTCCAAAGATCACTGTCCCATCTCCTTTGAAGGTTGAATGGGATTTGCTTAATAACAGGCAAACTGAAAACGTAGCAGGTCACTGCGGCTAGATGCTCCCTGTACTGTACCCTGTACGCAGTAGCACCACTGCGTGTCTATTGCCCATGGTAGTTTCACGTATACACACAGCGAGAGCATGTCAAGTGCGAGTGCGTAATGTCACTAAGAATATATTGCAAGTATCCTTGTTTCCCTGCAGTCGCAGGTCACGGCCGGCAACAGCCCTGGACAAGCGTATCTGCATGACGTATTGTGCGAAGTGCACGATTATTTATTGTTACCATATTATTACTGCTGAAATTTCAAACAAAGATCTTGTAGGAAACTTTTCAGACGGTCCCTGGCAACATTCTAAGACGAGAACATTAAAAATCCACCGGTTCCTAGATTTTTCCCTTCAGCTATTTACCCTCCACGACCACCATCGCCCCCATTTCCTGCTTCTGATGTCTTACGGTGTGGGGGGCAGGGGACGGGGGGGGCTTTCTCGTCCAAATACCCAGGTGCAATCCCTCCAGCGGACTCCCAATACAAAAGAAGTTATATGTTAGCATTGTCTGGAAATGTTTACCTACTGAATGCTAAACCACAAGGGGGAAAAAAAACATCACAAATCACAGCCTCACTGATTTAGGATTTACCGCGGAAACAAAATAAGAACTTCACCTTAAAGACAAAAATGAAAGCGGAAAGAGATGGGAGTAGCGTGTCCGTCCATGCATGAGTGTGTCTGCGAATGATCTTACATATTAACACATCAACATCCTTCCAGGCCGAACTGAGTCTGAATGGACAGATGAACACAGATGAACATTCACTTAAATGTAAGGAGACATAGTTCTAATGATTAACTAGGAAAGCACGCTCAAACGCATGCGCCCGTCAGGTCGTCAGGGGTCGAAGCGTGTCCTCCCGCCAGCCGTGTTCCTCAAAGCAAACGGGCACCTGAATGAATCTGGCGCTGTTACCTGGCCGGGGTGTGACCTCCATCGACCTGCTGCTCAGCGCTGACATCTGCAGGACAGGATAAAAAGACGACATTCCACACTGAGCCGGGAATTCTGGGAACTGAAAACGCTTTATGCAGTTCCACTTTGAGTATTCAATGAAACATTTGTCTGTACGGGGCCCACAAGAGACAGGCTGCAGGGGAAAAGGTGGCCATGGGCACAGCGAGACTCTGACAGCCCAAAAGGCTCAGCAGCTGCTTGATATCTCCTAATAGGAAACTATTAACTGGGAGCATCTCTGGTTCTTACAAATGCTGGGGCACACCGTGGGTGGGATGGCAGAATAGCAGGAACAGGCAACTTACAGACACCAAATTCTGCAGGAGGAACATGGGAAGAACATGCAAACTCCACACACAGAAGAGGTGGGATTTGAACCCCTAAGGCACGGGGCAAATATGTTCCCCAGTGAGATTGTGCTGCCTGTTGACAGCAGGAGGCAGTTTTTCAAATTGAGTCCTCGGGGAGCCACAGATAGTCCACGTCTTTTCTCCCTCCCAGCTCCCTGGCAGACAGTCGACATTCTTGCTCCCCCCCAGCTCCCATAGCAAAAACACGGACTGCTGTGAGCCCCTAAGGACCAGATTGGGAAACACTGGCGTAAGGAAATCATTGCACCCATAAATTCTCATGATTACATTTACTCATTTTTCTGAGGCTTTTATCCAAGTCAAATTACAGTAGATGTAAGGGTTACAATTCATATATGCTCCCAGAGATTGGAACCCACAACCTTTATGTTTTTAGCACATCGTTCTGTTTACCCGCGAGGATTCAGCTCTCTGTTGAGATAGCAGGAGTGTCTCTTTGTGCCCCTTTTCTCAGTTACTGATTCATACCATGTAACTAACACTCACTGTTCATTACCAAGCCTTAAAAAGCATGTTTAGTCTTAATCTCACATGCTGATTCGCAGAAACACCTCTTTAAAGATAAAGAAATCAGTCCCGTTCAACTCAGTCAAGTAAAATTTATCCATCCATCCATCCATCCATCCTTTTTCAGACTGCAGTGATGAATAATGGATACCAGGCTGTGTCATCTCTCTGTTTATCACCTTGGCCTTTGGAGTTGCTGTCCCGGGGGGTTGGCGCGTTTACAGAACCGGAATAGGGGGCCGCTGAGCGGGCGCTTGCTGTCTAAGCCATGGGGGGGGGGGGGGGGCGTTTGAAGAGATAAGGCAGCCACTGATCTGGACCCCAGCCAGACCGCCTAGCCGCAGACAGGAAGCTTCCTGCCCCCGCGAAAAAGCCCCCGGAGCGCGTGGCCCCCCCAGGGCCGGACGCCATGTGGCGCAGCCTCTCGTCTCCGTAGGCCGTGTCTGTCTCTCCCGAAAGGCGACAGCCAGCACAATATGGCAGTAAAGGGCGGTGACGGGAACAGGTAGGGGAGATAGGAGGGCTTGGATGGACGAGGGGAGAGGTGGAGCGGGGCAGGGGGCTGGAGGAGAAGGCAGGACCCCTGTCCGCTGTCTGATTAATGGCATACTCTGTGGTCTGGGGCTGCAGGGGTGGGGGGTCTTGAATGGGGCAAGTTCCCCCTCTGGGAGGCTAATTACAGCAGATCCTGTCTGTTGAGCCCCCCTCCCACGCCACGTCTTTGGCACGGGCCAGGCCAATGGGGGGTGGTTTAAAATACACTCTCCACAGCTGCATCAGGACCCTGAAATTTACGCAGCCCTCAAAAAGACTTTTCTGTGTGTTCAAATCCGGGTACGTTGGTATGTTGGTATCTTCTCATTGGCTGCTTTCCATACAGCCAAGTCGTATTTCTCTGTTTTGTGGTTACTAATGAATTACCAAACTTATTACACACCCACACCGTCACAATGGACGTTCAGTGCACTTACCAAGCAGAGTGTGACAGCACCATTGTCAACCAGAATGCATATAATCCTTAAGAAAACTTCACTACACCCTCTTCACACTTAGATCACCGCAGCGGCTCAGGCGAACCAGATGCTATTGTGCTGGTTAATCTGCCGCCTCTAACCTCCGATCACGTGTCCAAAATCAATGGATAATGGAGTAACGCCTGCAGACCAGCGGACAGGACTTTGGGAACCGCTGTCCAAATGCAACGGGATTTTCTGAGCTTGTAGCATGAATAAGGGCAGAAAGTGGTTTCTGTGCGCCTGGGTGACACTCACAAAGAGGATTCCATTCTTTTTGTTCTTTTTTTAACGTTCCACACGACTAAGGAGAATGGTTTTGTGCTTCGGTTCAGTACAGTAATGCTCCCTGAAAAAAGGCAACAATGGAATTTGTTCTTTTTGGGGGCTACGGCTTAGCGAGAACAGATGTCGGGGTTCCGCTCCGAGGTGATCAAAGCGGGCCCCACTGCTAGTGCCCAGATGGAGTCCGTGGGTGGAGGAGTGAGGCGGGGGGGCTCGGGCAAGGGGGCGGAGCCGTCTCCGGTGTGGCCAGCTGTTCTTGGTTGTCTCCGCTGCTGGCTTTGCCCCAGCTATACAGGCACTTTCAGGGGGCGGGCGTGCGCTACCGCCCAGAGCTAACGCTGGGCCCTTTCAGCGTTGCGGGGGTGGGGGGGGGGCCCTCAGACTGAAGGCAACTACTGAAGAGGACCCCTCCTAACCCGCCTCCTTGCAGAGATCTGTGTTGTTTATTAATTCAGTTTAATCTCGTTTATTTTTACATGCTGTCCTTCGTAGCGCAATTTCTGCGGGAAACGGGGGACGTATCAACAGGTTAACAAGCTCCGGAATAAACCAACAGGAGTAGCAGCACTATCAGACAATCAGAAAGCCTTGAATATACAGTACTGTGCAAAAGTCTTAGGCAGGCAAAGAAACTGATGTTTAGATTATCCTCGTGTTGGTGTAAAACTATGATATTATGCCTGTCAAAGTGTGTCAGCTTAGCCATTTCAGAACCTCTGCTAAAATCACCCCAGTATTTGCAGCGACCGTCCAGTGCAGCCATGTATTTTTTTACTCGGCCACTAGCATACCTCATACAGCTAGTCAATCTGTCACTGACTTTTTAAACAAATTAATTTAATTATTTAATTGAGCTGTTGGTGAAATTTAACAAAATCATGGAACGGCTGAGGTGCCCCTGAGGAGAGGTTTGGGAACTGAAGCGGTGTTCATCTAGCCATCCAACTAGATATCAGTAACTTTTTAGAAAACAGAAGAAATTATTACTAGTTTTTATTGTGTTACTCTTAATTTGCACATGTTCTAATGTTAAATTGTGTTTTTTGTTCTAAGCCAAAGTGCACTTGCTACCCAGATAAACAGCTTTAAACATTTCTTTGGACAGCCTAAGACTTTTGCATAGTACTGTATACAAATTTAATATAATCCATCCATCCATCATCCATACATGCTTGTTTTATACAGGGTAATGGGGGTCCGGAGCCTATCCCAGAAGCTACGCGTGAAAGGCAGGGAACAACCCAGTGTGGGGGCCAAGCCACTGGGGGGCACACACACACAGACCATTCACAAAAAATATATTATATTATATTTCAAAATGTACAGAGACCAGAAGACAATGGGGCAGAGAATTTTAACAAATTTTTTAAGGTCTATGGGTCAAGGTATATAAATTCATAATAATATATATGGGAGTGGCCAAAATGATGTAAACAGCACATGAAGGAGGGTATTAGCTTTGGAATAACTAAATCATGGTTATAATGCCACTTCAAAGCTGAGCAATAGTACTGTAGGTTGGCTGCCAGTAGCAGTGTGGTCTGTCTGTAAAAGAGGCCTGAAAATCGGCACTTTGACATGCGAGTTTCCAAAGCGATATGAGGACAAATATCAGAAAAAACAGAGCAGCCCGGGGCCTGAACTGCAGGTGTGTCGGTCACACCATGTGCCTTCTGGAAGAGTCTCAGAAGTCAAGACAGCACAAAAACTTCACGTCATGAGCTCCGGAAACCGAGGTCTCATATAAATCCCAGTGCATCCCAAAGACCCCTGTAAGGAGTGTGAAGCCTGCAGCAGAGAGCCGCAGAATGCAGTCACATGGCCTGATGCTCACTGCAGATACTGCCATTGGTGGCAAACCGGCTTGCATCCTGCTGTGGGCATTACAGGGGCCACTTGCGGGATTCACTGCACAAAACCATGATCCCCTATGTGGTGACATCGTAGAAGGTCTTCACCCTTCCTTTGAGTGTTGTGGGGGCTCTGTGTGGGTGACTATCTGTCCCAAATTAAAAAAGAACTACCAGAAAAAAGCTACCACAATTTAAAATAACCCCCAAAGGAGCATCGGTCAAGGCACAGCCTGCTTCCCTCGTTTAGAAGATGGACGGATGGTTCTGGATCCGCTGAGCCACCTGCAGTCATTACAATGTACAATGGAAATGCTTCTCGCGGGTACCTCTCATGTCAAGCACATTGTCAGTCACTGAAATGCACGCACAGAAAATTAACTGAGCTGAATTGAAAAGGTCTGCCAGCATCCCTAGCCACTACTCCCCCTATAGGCCAGAATGACTTCTGGCAGGTCAGGGATATACATATATACATATATACAGCCAACAGCCAACTAAATGCAGCATTCTCTCAGCTAAAGATGTCTGCCATCCTAACAAGCCCGTTTGTAAGTGTTAAGGGCTTTGAGCAACTTTAATTAAAGACGGCCTTATTTTACATTTCTAAAGCAAAGGTTTCATTAAAACTCCCCGCAGACTCGCATGCCATTAAAACTTTTCGGTCATTAAACCTGGAATGCGGTGTCAGAATTAATGCGTTGCCGTGGCCACCATTAATTTAACGCATCGTTAAAATGGGAAATTGCAGCCACTGTAACTGCAATCCTTAATAAGCTCTTCCGACAGACCACTCTACATCCACTGTCACTGTGCCCCTCTGGCGCCGATCCAGGGCCCCCCTGCCTGGTTCCCCGTACTTCCTGGGGTTGCCTCCAGGTTCACTACAGCCCTGTTCTGGATAATCAGTTAAGGAAAATGGATGGATGATGATGAAAACAACCTCCAACCAAGACAGGGTCACTGTAACCCTGGAGT